TGGGATGGGGTGGCTCCCCCAGCTTCTTGCAGCAGCCAAAACCACGCCATGKCTTGGGGCAGGAGGATCAGGCCCCTGGGAGAGTAAGAAACCCCTCAAAACTCTGTGTTAAACTATTGAACTTTCAGCCTGTGTYGCAATGAAAGAACAAAAATCTCAGCTGAGCTTGTACAGGGCAAAAATGTGCTTGTGGTCCGAGAGAATGGAGGCACTTTGGCCTTTTCTCATGGGCCGGACAATCCGTGAAATGTTTGGAAATGGCAGATTAYCATAGAATCTATAACGCGATTGTTGCGGCGGGGGCGCGGGAGGGAAGGCTTGGAGGCAGCTGGTTCCCCAGGGCAAGGCTGGAGCTGAGCCCTCGCCCTCAGCCATGGCTCATTCCTCGTGCTGGAGCTGGAAACGGGCTCTTTGAAGTGAAAAATGAGTGAAACGGGGCCAGGATGTTTTCCACGCCCGTTGGGTGACCGGCGGCTTCTGCTGCTCCCCTGCCACGGGAGCCAAAGCAAACAGCCCACAGCTCCAACCAGCGTGGACTCCAGGCATTAATTATCCCTCTTTAATTTTCATTTGTTGTGGTCTTGGAGTCAATGGAGTTGACCTCAGCAGTTGTAATTAACTGCAGCACCAGGGGCTGTTTAACGCTGCGCTCACAGGGCTGGGTGTTTAACATGGATAATCTCCATCCTGTATCATTGTGGAGTGACTCCCATTCCCAGGAATATGAGATGCCACATATTGAGTGACCTCTCTTCCCTTTCTGTCCCCTCTGGGAATGGCTGGATCGCTCCCCTGCAGGCGTGTGCTGCCTGGACCTGCAGAACCGCGCCGGCTACACGGCCGTGATGCTGACACCGCTGGCGGCCCCCGAGACCCGCCAGGACATGGAGGTGGTGATGAGGCTGCTGAGGGAGGGGGACGTCAACCTGAGAGCTGCCCAGGTGTGTGACAGGGACAGCTGGGGAATCTTTGGTGTTCCTGGCCCTCCACAGCAGCGCCAGGCTGGGACTCGCAGCGGGTATCGGGTCGGAGCTGCTGCTTCCCAAACGTTCCCAAAACCACCTCAGTGGCAGCGTGGGCACCCGCCAGCTCCCTGGGAGGGGTGTGACAGCTGGGGACAGTGGAGAGACTAAAAAAGGCTGAACATTTTGTAAAAAAGTTTTTCTGAGGTAAAAATCAGCAGTGACACCAGGGAGGAGCAGTGGTGGGTGAGCTTCATCTGGGTCACACATTTTGGTTCAGGGATGAGAAGAGCCCTCATCCATCTCTGCTCCCAAACTGCTCCATCCGAGAGTCTGGATCTGAGTTAAACTGCCCAGGAGGCTTTGGGGACCCACATTTGGGTCCATGCTTCTGCAAGGACCTTCCTCAGGTGAAGCAGTGTCTCTCACAATTCCTGCTGAGGAGCCCCAGTGGGATTTAATGATAACGTTAATAGGATTATTATCACACATGTGCCATGCAATA